ATCCACGGGGGAAAATGACAAGCTTGGAAAATCCAAGCCACTGGAATAAAAAAAAACAAGAGGTAATCAAAGATTTCAAGGATCACTTAAGGAGGCTGGGGGGTCAACAAATTAACCATCAGATATAACTTATTTTTTTAGGTATGATATCTTATGCTGTCAACTTTCATTTGGCAAAGAAAAATTTCATAAATTTTAGTTTTAAAATTTGATCATATTTGTATATCTTTATATGGAGCTCTTCTTCTAAAGGAGATCAATATAGTCTGAAAATGGCCAAAAACCCCCAGCCTTCTTAAATGAATGCAACATAAATGTAGGCCAAGTTTTAGTTCAGTAAGATGAAAGAATTGTTTACATAAGTTCAGTGTTTTTACTATTTTATAGAAACACCCAAGAAATAGAGCATCTGAAGGAAGTCTGCAATAGTATGTATCCCTAGATATATCACCTGTAAGTTAGTTATCAGTAGAGACTAAATAAAAGGAAGTCTGCAATAGTATGTATCTCTAGATATATCACATAAAAGTTAGTTACAACTAGGGATTAAACAAAAGGAAGTCTACAATAGTATGTATCCCTAGATATATCACCTATAAATTAGTTATCAGTAGAGATTAAACAAAAGGAAGTCTGCAATAGTATGTATCCCTAGATATATCATCTATAAGTTATCAGTAGAGATTAAACAAAAGGAAGTCTGCAATAGTATGTATCTCTATAGATATATCACCTATAAGTTAGTTATCAGTAGAGATTAAACAAAAGGAAGTCTGCAATAGTATGTATCCCTAGATATATCACCTATAAATTAGTTATCACTAGACATTAAACAAAAGGAAGTCTGCAATAGTATGTATCCCTAGATATATCACCTATAAGTTATCAGTAGAGATTAAACAAAAGGAAGTCTGCAATAGTATGTATCTCTATAGATATATCACCTATAAGTTAGTTATCAGTAGAAATTAAACAAAAGGAAGTCTGCAATAGTATGTATCCCTAGATATATCACCTATAAATTAGTTATCAGTAGAGATTAAACAAAAGGAAGTCTGCAATAGTGTGCATTCCTATAGATATATCACCTATAAGTTAGTTACCAGTAGAGATTTAACAAAAGGAATTCTACTATAGTATGTATCCCTTAATATATCACCTATAAGTTAGGTATCAGTAGAGATTAAACAAAAGGAAGTCTACAATAGTATGTATCCCTAGATATATCACCTATAAATTAGTTATCAGTAGAGATTAAACAAAAGGGAATAGATTCACTAATTAAAACATTAATCTGGTCACTTGTTCATCAGAAAATATAGAAAAGAGCCACTGCATTGTAAGCGTAATTGGCTGTAAGCATTAGATTCCAGTTTGATCCACATATAGGGCTTACTTTCATTTGTATGTGGACTTGATATATCCCAGTGAACTCGAAATAAAGGACATTATAGAGTCTGCTACATCTGTTTCATATTTGGATGTTTTAAGGGCTAGCTGACTAATAACTAAACTGTTTTGGCAAATGTGATGCATTCAGCTTTTCCTCGTCACCTTTCCCTCTTTATGTAGCAATATTCCACTATCACCTGCATATGGCATTTATGTCTCCTAACTAGATTTGATATGCAAGAGCATGCTCTGAGTATGATCAATTTTCAAACCGGGGCAAGCTATACTGACAAGAAAATTGATGTCACAAGGATTTCAACAACCTTATTTAAAGTCAGCTATCTGCAAATTCTATGGTCATTATGAAGACCTTGTTTGTAAATGCAATTTATCGTTGGGTCGTATTTTGTCCGACATGTTTCCTACCATTTGTTAAGTTCATTACTTTTATACTTTTGAATACAGAGTACTCTGTCTACCTGATCAATACATAGGGCTCACGGTGGGTGTGACCGATCAACAAAGGATGCTTACTCCTCCTAGGCACCTGATCCCATCACTCGTGTTTGCCCTGTTCACGGTTCGTTTTGTTAACTGGAATTATGAGAATGATCACTGTTTTGTTATCTTCACCTTTTACATCACAGATACTTAAAAGTAGACCTGGTATACAGAGTTCATAAGAAAATATAGGTCAGAATCAGTAGACCTGATACACAGAGTTCATACAGAAAATATAGGTCAGAGTCAGTAGACCCATTACACAGAGTTCATACAGAAAATATAGGTCAGCGTCAGTAGACCCTATACACAGAGTCCATACAGAAAATATAAGTCAGAATCAGTATCCCATGCATGATTGCTAGAAACGATCATTAGATACATCATCCTTGCAAGTTTGGTCCAGGTAATGCCAATAAATATTTGGGAATGGGCTTGCTCCAGAAATTTTAACCTGGAATGCAAGTATCAAAGACAGTACTTAGGGTTTACCCTAAGCTCATCTCAATTTCTCAAAGATATGATTTAAGGAGGTTGGGTCCTGCCATCAAAAGTAATGAGATTTTTTATCAAGTATATTTTTTGAATTTATACACATAGCTTAATTAAAAATCAAAACAAAAATGGGGGTCAATGCGCTTCTTTTGGGGCTACAGAGCATATAGATTGACCTTTTTGCACTGTAAATACGTCTTACATATAAATCAATTTTTGAAGTTTTTCCTCCAATATTTTTTATTCAAGTAAATTATGGGAACAAACACAGTCTTATGTCATCTTGAATAGACACCTAAAAATTTGTGACAACGAAAAAATTTTCAAATTACTCCGAATGTTCAATTATTTGACCTTTTTGCACTCAAAAAATTTCATCTTTCTGGCATTAAAAATTTAACAAGCAAAAAAATCATTTGAAAGTAATGACATTTGACTGAATTTAAGAAGAATGGTTAAAAGTATCTTATATATTCAGAAAAGAAAATAAAAAGTGGGGGTCTGTGATGTTAATTTTTAGATACTACTAAAATAGTGCTAATTTTAAGCTTAAAATAGGGATATTTTTTTCTTGACTTTCACAATATATTTGCTATATTTATTAAATATGATGATAAAATTCATGAAAGTTTATTTAATATATAATTTAGGACCAGTATAAAACAGTTCACTTCACAAAATAAGTCTGTGTGCAGACTGCATGGAGAAATAGGAATTCAAACTTAACATACTTTAAATACTTCGAAAGAGAAAAAATGATCATTTTCTTCTAAAAACCCATCCGCCACAAAATATAGTTCCTCACTTAATGCTTTTGGTATGGAATTAAATCATGGAATTTTAACTGAATATAGTTTAATTGGCATTGTAGAATCCAAAATTATTGTAAGAATTAAAACTTTATGCAGAATTTTTGAAATATAGGGTAAGATATAAATCTGCTCAAAAGCTCAGGAGCGAACCTCGTTAAACATGTAACTTAATTATTCACTAATAGATATATAATAGTTTTAAATAGAATTATAGGAATTTGATTTCAGGGTTATAGAAATGTATTGAAACTGCACTTTGCTATTTTTAATTTCATGGTGGACTCAAATTTGTGGGTTTCTTCATACCACAAAAACAACAAAATTTAAACTCCCAAATAAATTAGTGATTTCACAGTATGAATCTCACCTTAGTGAAGCTTACCTATGTCATAGCTATGAGGGCACAAATCTTACACAAAATTAATGTTCTGGTGGTGTACATTCCAGGCTAATGATGCAAGTTTGTCCAGGTAGGACTTAATTATAGTTACTTGGGAATGGACCTGTTCCAAAAACTTCTACCTGGTCACTCACCTGGGAACTGCAGGTCGGATCCAGCATCCAAAAAATTCTGGTAGTGTGCATTCCTAGATGTAAAAGCCATGCAATTTTGTCTAAGGAGGGCTTATAGTAACTTAGGGATTGGACCTAATAAACCATAAACTTGATTTGGTCAATATCATCTAATAATGACATATTAAAGCCAGATCAGTATCTAAAGCATGGCTGGTAGTGTAAATCCTAAGATGCATTATCCATCCAAGTTTTGGTCCACCGGGTAGGTTTATACTGCTTCAGAATATGGACCTGCCTGCTAACTTGTATAGAAAAAGCAAGTCAGATGAATACACTGAGTATCCAAAACAAGTCTGGTAGCTGTGTACATCGATCCCTAAATGCATCATCCATGTAATTTGGTTCAGGTGTATAAGGGCCAGCTCATCAAGCTACTTTGGAATGGACCTGCTGATCATCCATTGGGAAAATGTAGATCAGATCCAGCATCCGAAGCAAGTCTGGTCTTGCACTTAATTCCCTTCTGTTTCAATCCATTCATGTTTTGTTAGCATGGATGCATGGTTTAAGTATGTTAACAATTTTCATGTTGAAGAGATGGGAGCCCCCACCCACTCCAATAGGATCATGCACACCAGAACATTCAAGTCAGATCGATGCATGTAGCATGTATAGCTGATGGTGTGCATCACTATAATTATAGAACATTTAACTTAATTGAAGCAAATGGTCCTGGGAAAACGCTTCTCTCATAAGTTAACATTTGATATATCCAAACTCAAGACTAATTTTTGGTCATGTTTTTTTTTTTCAAAATCATACTCATAACCCCTACAACGCAACATGACGAAAGGGGGGGGGATACTATAATTGTACTTTAGATGGAATATTGTCCTACATCTAGAGCTTCGGTGATACGTCTTTTTCATTTTCGTGGTGTAAACTGAGTAAGAGAATTGTCCTTAATGACCTCTTTTATCTTTTCAAGTTTTCCTGGTAGACGTAAACTTAGTTTTGGTTGGAAATGCTAGGTAGCTATACAATTTGTTATACCTCTATTTCGTACCGACATAAGCTTTAGCTAATATTTATTTTAAATGGATTAATATAAATTATTAAGTATTAAGGAATGCATTATAAATAATTGATTCAAAATTTAAATCGAAAATTCTTTAAAAGTTACTACTAGGAAATTTGTCAATATCATACATGGACGAATTTTCATCAGATCTACTTGGATTCTGAATTTTAGTATTCCACTTCCGGTTTAAAAAAAATGGTGCATATCTGAAAATGGTGTCAGTACTCTCATAAAACATAGTAAAATCGTAAGTTTTTTGAAGTGTTCTCACGCATTTGCTTTTTATCATTGTTTTATTTAACTTAATGCATTAATTGATAATTAATGAATGGCAACTAATAGGAATGAAAAAGAAAAAAAATCACATAGTTTGTTTTTCGTGTGACAAACAAATCTAATCTCGGCGAGATTCGTCGAGACTAAAAATTTTTTACTGAGGTCTAGGAGACGTCGGTACAAAATTTTTAGTCTTTACAAATCTCGCTGAGAAATCCAATGCAAAGACATAAAACATCAGTGGTAACCACAAAGATAGATTTGTTTGTATAGACTACAGGCTAATGTCTATGTTTTGTTTATTGTTAGACTTTAAATTTGTGTATTTTTGTTCAAGTACAATTTCGCCCCCACACTCCTTAATTCTTTCAACTGTTCAATTACACTTGCCAGGTGTAGGAAACTTCCTAATCTCGACTGAGATTCGGCTTAGCTGGATATTTGGACTGACGCTTTCATTGAGTCTCGAGACAGTACTTTATAATTCATGTCTGGAAATTCACGCCTCATCGGATATCCAGATTGAGATATTGATATTCACCTAAAAAATATAGCCGATCGCTTCAATTATGTTATTTTAATGTTTTTAAGTTACTAACTATTACTATTCAAATGCATTTGCTTCTTATGTTAGTATGTAAATTAGGGCTGAAATGATACACCCCCTCCACAATACGGTACGTATCGCGATACTTGTGTCACAGTTCAATTTTTTCAATACGATACATTTTAAAAAAGAAACAAATCATAAGGTTAAAGAAAACATGTATTCAGATTTCAAAAGGCAAGTAAAAGGTGGTGATACAATAAAGAGCACTACTTGTGCTTCTGTAGATTAATAGTCTTAGAGCACTTTGTTCTTGTCAATACTAGCAGTGGCAGCCTGCTCTGAAACTTTCTCCATCGCAATTTTCTCCCTCGTGTGTGTCAAACTATTAAAATGAGGTCGAACCCGATATATTTCAAAGTGTAACCAAACCGGATATAAAAAAGGTACTGAACCGAAAATCAAGGTAGTGAATTGAACATTGAACCGAGCAGTAATTTTGAACAATATGGATATTTCGGTGAATTGTTTCAGCCCTAATGTAAATCCAACAAACACTTGTTTTCCATTCAAATGATGGCTTCCACCATGTCCATGACATAATGAAGAGTTCCAATAGTTTGTACATGTATATAATGTGGGGTGTTCATCTGTACATCCCTTTGTCCTCCCATCTGTCTGTTGCACTTGGGGATACCCATCTCTTATCTGCAATTCCTTAAAATTGCTTCCTCAAAGTACCCCCCATCATAATAAAAGTACTGCCTTTTTCTAGCCCTGAGTTTTTAATAGGTGTGTGGGGTACATATTGTGCTTAGCCTAATAGGAAATAATTCCTTGCAAAACAAACTTCCCATATATCTCTATATGTAAACTGCTATTCTGAGTATTGACTGGAGTGGCAACTAGTAGATAAAATGTTATTTAAGGAATGAAGCTAATTTTAACCTATGTTATACAATATAAAATAACTTGGGGCAGTTAATGCTTTATAAACCACGAAGCGGTTTATAAAAAAGCGTAAACTGCCCAAAGTTATGTTATATCATATAACATAGGTTAAAATTAGCTTCATTCCTTATAATTTAATTTCAGTGTAGACAATAAGACAATTTTTCCTCCAAAAATGGCCTCAAATTGAGCATATTTTAAAAGTAATGTCAAGCGGAGTAATACGTTTTTGACATAACTCATTGTGACATAGGCAACTTATGTTATACGATATAAACAAAATCTTTTATCCAATCAAATGACTTGTTACAAATAAAATTAAATTATATTGGTTTAATGATGTGTATTCAGTTTTATCAGACTCCAAAATCTGGAATTTGTGGAATTAAGATATTTGGACTAGGAAAGGCTTGTAATAGATTTTCAAAAGAAATTTTTTGGTTACTTTGTAGATTCTTTGGAAAAGTTGTTACTTTGTACATGTTGTAGATTTTTTGTAAAAGTAGAGATATTTACTTTAAGAATTTGTTGTTTTGTGGGATATTATTTAGAGAGAAATAATCATTTGAATAAACCATTTTCTTAATATTAATGTTAATTATATGAAATTGGATAATATATCTTTTTTAATGATGCATTTCTGGATGAATTTGGGGGGGGGGGGGGGGATTAAGTTTCAGTAATAAAATTTTTGACAGCATCTAAATTCTACATGCAAGTACTCAATATCATAACCAACTGTTGATCAAGTACTTGAAAATATCACCAAAACTAAAAAGTGGTCAACGTCATAACCAAGTGTTCATCAAATACTTGAAAATATCACCAAAATTAAATATTTACCATTATTCAAAATTTTAAATACTTCTGGCTTGAAACAAGTTTTCATCTTTTTTTTTTGCTTTTGTTAAGTAGGGTGTCTCACTTGGATATCTCCATAGTTATTAGTAAAATATGGTGTACACGTCATTAAGTCAAAGTTGTGATCATTATGAATTGCAGGAATTATTTCAAAGTAAAGTGAAGATAGAAATAAACCAACAAATACCCCAATGTATTCAATTCTTATTTCCAGCAAAATTAAAATTACCTGTTATACTTAATTCAATTCAATTTATTGACATCACCATGTTGGTATACTGTCAAATTAACAAATCACATGACAGACAACAGAAAAAAGAAAAGAGAAAAATATTATAACATAATGGCTACAGCATGCAAGACAATTTTACATGATTCTTTATAGTCCATGGACTTCTTTCCTCTGCATAAAGCATCTACTCTAAACAGTTACATAATGACACCATGTATCATGTATGTCACCGGGTCTTTTGTAGAATAAAAATCCAACACTGGATTCGGCACAAACTATATATTTATTTACTGTGCTTAGAACAAAAAACCTACAAAGTATAAGTTAAACACACTCTCACAACACAATACACACACAAGACAAATACTTTACATTTAACATCAGACATTAACAACACATAAATTACATGATTGTTTGCTGTCGGGATTAATTAATAAAAGTAAATTATGAAATACATTTATATAATAATTATAATAAATGTAAACAGAAAGCTTACCAGGAATCCAGTTAAATTAACTCCAAGTAATACTTTACACAATACTTCTAATATGTTTCAAATACATGTACAGTCTTCTATCGTAAAGGCAAAAAGCGAGGGGGTCAAGAATTGGCGGGTACTGTGCTTATATATGTTACGGTTCCCTATTTATTCCCACTACTATGGGAAACACTTTCTGTGGAAATATACAGTACAAGTTAGCAATACTCCCTGTAACATATTGGACTATAAAACGGCAGAAAAAATGTTTTATTAATTGTATGTTTTATTTCATTATTAATTGTATATTTACCAAGTTCATCATTGGGACGATGTCGGTAATTTAGCCTTACCCCGAAATTCCTCGACATCTTACATTCCCAAATTACGCTTTAACTGTTTATGATTGCTTTTGTTTATGTTTACGAAGTTCATCAGCACAAGTCCCAAAAGTACCAAACAGTAATTATCTGTGCCCTAGGGTGCGTGATTCCTTTCGTCGATCCGATCGGCATGGCAGCATATCAAAGCTTCTTTGCAATAACAAAGATGGCGGGTATTTTCACTTTGTCGTGACGTCACAACAATCGAGCCTGATGCCTATATAAGCCAGCGCAGATCAATCGACTAGTCAGTTTTGTAAATTTGTCACTTCGGCTTTACAACTCATTTCGCCAGCATGTCTGGGAGCGAGAGCCGCTAGGTAATTACTATTGAACATTAATTAATTAGTGGGAGCTGATGAATTTTGGGATAATATTTTATTTTTACTTCTAATAATTATATTGAATTGTTCTGTGGGAGAAAATTAGTGGGAGGTGAAATAACTCTCCCATAACTATCTATTGTATTGTGAAGGGACTCCCAGTATTTCGGGAAATACTTTTATACTTTTTGTAAATTTATTTATAATTCCCTAAAACTTAATTCTCCCATTTGAGAATATTTTATTCCCATTTCTATTTGGGAGAGAAATAATATTCCTACGGGAGCAAGAAATAGGGATAATCATTCAAAGAGATTATGCAAATTAAATACAACAAGCAATAATAAATTTTTATACATTTTAATCCTGACTTAGAGTTCTTTTGTCCAATATACAGACTTGGGAGACCCACAAGTTGCATATGGGAGAAAACCCCTGAACGGCAACATTGGTGTCAGAAGTGGGATTTTTCAATTTTTATTCCCATTTATCTGATTGGACAAAAGTTAATAATTATACAAATAAATTCTTTATATCATAAAGTAAAATAATACTCCCAAAAGAAATTCTGAAAAATGTCAAGGGAGAATAGTCATTTAGAAGATCTGGAGAGATTATTTTTGATCCAAGATCCCAAACAGAAGTAGAAAATTTATTCCATGAAGAGCTCTTTCAAAATGAATCTTCACCAAAACAAACATCAGCTCCCAAGGGTTTTGAAAATATAAATGAATTATTGTTTAAAGCAGTTGAAAATATGAATAGGGAAGTTCTATGCATGAAGCAAAATTTTGAAGAACAATTATCACAAATGAGACAAGAGTCCCATCAATTACATGGGAGGTTATCATCACTTGAGAATCATTGGAAAGCTATTGGTCTACATAAATATGGGAACTGTTCTGAAAATCCCAGTCAATCACCATTTCTAGGGGCTGGGGAGAGATTTGAATCTTTCAGAAACCCAATGTCCCCAAATTCAAGGGTGAACAGAAATGACAATAGCCTACATTCTCCCAGTCAAGTGAAACCAACAGTCCCAATTAAACCACAAACATATAATGAGGACATTATTTCTGTATTATACTTATGTACAATGTACATACTTGTTTTAATCTGTGGATATAATTATCGTGAATGTTGTTAATGATTTTGTATATTGATAACTTACTTTGTTTGATCAAATATCTTGTCAATTGTTGTGATTGTTATGAAGGATGTACATATACTTATTAACTGTCAATTATAGTATGCACTTTTAATGTAAGTCGTTTTCGTGCCAACAACTAAGGGAAACATGGAAACTTGTACCCACCTTTGAATTCCCTGAAGTATAAAACCATTCGAGGACGAATGTTCTTCACATGGGAGGGGGCCGTTTTATGGTTCCCTATTTATTCCCACTTATTGGGAAACACTTTCTGTGGAAATACACAGTACAAGTTAGCAATACTCCCTGTAACATATTGGACTATAAAATGGCAGAAAATATGTTTTATTAATTGTATGTTTTATTTCATTATTAATTGTATATTTACCAAGTTCATCATTGGGACGATGTTGGTAATTAGCGTGGGAGAAAATTAGTGGGAGGTGAAATAACTCTCCCATAACTATCTATTGTATTGTGAAGGGACTCCCAGTATTTTGGGAAATACTTTTATACTTTTTGTAAATTTATTTATAATTCCCTAAAACTTAATTATCCCATTTGAGAATATTTTATTCCCATTTCTATTTGGGAGAGAAATAATATTCCTGCGGGAGCAAGAAATAGGGATAATCATTCAAAGAGATTATGCAAATTAAATACAACAAACAATAATGTTGAATGTTGTTTTTGGTGAAGATTTGTTTTTTAAATATTTTCTAAAATCTGAGCAGATCTGTGATTATATGTTAACAAAGAGGGATAACTCTGAAAACTGGGTTCCTCTGCATGCTCTCTCTTAATTTAGGTTGGCATTTTTGATTTAGTTGAATCACTGTGTACATGTATGTGGTTGCAATTATGGAATGAATGCTTGAAATGGAGTTGTGTGTTTTACAAAATAAGTCAACAATTCTGGAGGAAACATATTTCTTGAAAAAAGAACATGGGTTTGGGTGGGTAAACAATTCTCCCAATATTTTAAGGTCTCACAAGTAACTCTGTTGACCTATTGCTATCTGTTTTTTGGTTTCTTTGTGCCACATGTGTTTTTCGTGATCTGTTGTATGTAGCATCTATGGGTAAAAGGGAACAAAAAAGTGTTCATTATTCCTCATTTTCTTTACTCCTAACTTCTTGGAGACAAGTGCATGAATATGATAATGATATTAGAGCCCTAACAAAACTGGAGAATTTATATACATGAATATGATAATGATATTAGAGCCCTAACAAAACGGGGGAATTTATATACATGGATATGATAATGATATTAGAGTCCTAACAAACGGGAGAATTTATATACATGAATATGATAATGATTTTAGAGTCCTAACAAAATGGGGGAATTTATTCAGTTTTAGGTGGGATTAAAGAGGTCCATTCTTGAAACTCAGATGACCTTCAAGGTCCTCTTGTTGGACTAGAGTAGCATAGATTTAATGGTAGTTAGTAGATTGTCTGGAGCCTCGGGAACATCATGAATGCACTGTTCAGCATCTTTGCAGTAAAAAAAAAAATATTGATTTCTATATAACAGGATCATATAAGAGTTAAAGTATAATAAATCAAAAGGTCAAAATAAAGGATATTTGTAAATAATTCATTTGGATAAAAGTTTATCTCTTGTGTTAATTTTTCCAATGATTATTTAATCAATGATTGATCAGTGATTAAGGGTTGATAAAGAGGAAGATTGTACAAACAATGAATCAATGATTGATCAGTGATTAAGGGTTGATAAAGAGGAAGATTGTACAAACAATGAATCTGTTGTAACATCACTGTTATGCTTTATTTCTTTGAAAATAGAAAATATTGCACTGTTATGGATTTGTATAAAGAAATATAAAGTGTACAAAAAGTACAGTTATAGGAATACTTACATGTGTGTTTGTGTGTAATTTTACATGTATTTTTATAAACCAATTACTATTGGAAGAAGTATTATCTATGTGTTGAATATTTCTTACAGAAGAGAATTGAGATTTCCTGAGTTCCACAACTAAGACAGGGAGAAGATCACATGGTTATTTGATCTGTGTGTTAACTTAAAACCACCATTGTAAGTATTAAGAAAGTCCTCAATTTACTTTAACAACCTCTGTTTTCATTCTTACCGAATTTCAATCCCTTATTCTTTAGGGATATTGTTGTGTTTTGTTTTTGGGGGGTTTTTTGGGGGGGGGGGGGGGAGGTTATTTCTTTACTGACTAGGAAACAGAAGAGACTATGCATTTGTAAGATGGTTATTATCTGTGTGTGTCTGTAATGTAATCCCTCCTTTGGTTATGTGTAAAACTTAAGAAAGATACTTTTTCTACTTGAATTTTAATTTTTATGAACAGTGATATACATGTTCATGTTACATATACATGTTACTGAAAACAGAATAATGTTTTTTGTTTTATTTTGTTTGTTTGTTATTTATTTATTTATTTATTTATTTATTTATTTATTTATTTTTGAAAACACTAGGTGCTTCTTGTATAGTTTTCGTCTCATTCTAGAGTGGGCCCCCAAGTAAACTACATCAAGAAATGTGATTCTTTACATCAGTTTTTATTTTTCAGAACAGTGGTGCCATGATTACTAACATGTTGTGATATATCAAATTCTTTTAGATGGCTTTTTGTCCTGTAATTCCATACATGTGATAAGTCAAAGACCACAAAACTGTACAGGAGCCATAAAAAAAACTGGAATTTGGGTCAAAAAACGGTACAAAAAATGGTATAAAATATCGCTTAAATTCTGATGAAATTCCATCGTAATCATTGTAATAAACATCGTATATTTTATACCTACGAAGATCCGGGTCAGATTCACGTATATTAAGTCATGTATATCAACTTTAGAAGTTGGCTTAATTTTTTTCAATCAAGTTACGTATACGAAACATTAACAGTAATTAAGTACCCCTTAAAAAATAAAGCTACCTAAAGGGGTATTTGATACGAATTTATAGCAAGATAATTATCCCAATTGGCAGTTCACACCTTCGCACGCAATGGTTTGTGTACACTACACAATTATCAGAAGGTCAAGTGTCAACACAGGTGACGTTTTCCAGTGTGTCGCGAGCGAGAATGAGAGGAAAATGGCGGCATTTAGCGAGAAATTCAAAATACTGTACAAATTTTCATATTCCGTGAATTTTGGTGTCCTGCCGGTACACGATGAATGGGCTCGAAAAACTGTACATTTTGCGTACAGCCGGTACATATCACATGTATGTAATTCTGGCATAATTTCATTTAAAAATGTCACAAAAAATACCAATCCCCCTACCAAATACATGTACTACTCCTACAAAATACTGCTCCTCCTACGAAATACCACTCCTCTATAGATTTTAGCTGATTTATGTAGAACCTGATACAAGTGTAGACATGAACAAGACAAGGCCAACCTTAAAGATTTAATTGTTTGGAATTGCTGCCTAGAAGGTTTTAGACCCAGGAAGGAGGGAGGAATTATTTTTTTTCAAAATTGAAGTTATATTTAAAATTTTTGACAAATTTCTCAATAAACAGTGAGCACATTATTTTCTGACCTTTTGAAAAAAAGTATCTCCCATCAACCAAGAACCATGATTTTGCATAGATCTGACAATACAATAAGTGATTTGGTGGTGCATGTGATAATAGGCCAAGAATTGATAACGGATTAAATAAAAAAAAACATCTTCTTATTTTTGGTCAATAAAATTTTTTGAGGAGGGGTGATTTTAGTGAGGTTGGCCTCTAAAATTTGGGATATAGAGGGGCTGAAAGTGTTTTCGCAATATCTCAAAAACTATTAAGAATTTGTGATACATTAATGAAGCAAAGTTGTTCAAAATGACAAGTACCAGCTAGTGAGATTACCAAAAGTCGTCAAATGACGTCACTTCAGGCCAAACAGGAAGTAGACAAAAATAGCTTATTTTCATAGATATTGGCATGGAATTAAATATGAAATGTCACAAGGGAGGTCCGGCCTTATTTTTTAATCAAGTATAGTCGCTGTAGACTACAAATCGAACCGGAAGTAGGCATAAATGACCAATTCCTGCAGATATTGACATAAAGTTAAATAATTACCATCATGGAAGACTTCAGACCTGATTTTTTTTCGTCGATTTGCATCAATTCCAGTCAAACCGGATGTAGATATGAATTTCTTTTTTCATGTATTTCAACTTGGATTTCATTATTAATTTTTACTAGACAGACATCATTTTTCTTCAAAAGGCCTTCTTCAGAATGAATTGCTTTCCATCATAAACCTATCTTACAAGTAGTGATACTGAAAACTTGGCAGAAGACCTACTTGTTGCTTTGCAACAAGCTTTGCTCTAGTTTGTTCCTCCTTTCTGTCTGAGTTATAGGAGGAAGTGGTGTCACTTTTATAGAAAAAAGAACTAAAAAAAAGAAAAGTTAAAGGTCAACAGCAGTATTTCTCCTGGACTATTGCAAGTTCCAACCAGCACAGCTTCATTTTCCTAGACCTTCTTCCTTTTCCTTTTTCCTCTTTGTTGCTGATTTTTGTTCATTAAGTCTTCTTTTTATTTGTTTTTGAAGTACTTTTAATATTCTGTTAAAAAAATCACCTCTCATTTTTCTTCAGATGATCTAGAAGTAGACACAGACAAGGCACTATATGTATACAATTCCAAAGCCATGTGAAACCTCGGCAACTCATTAGTCACCATGGTGATTACACAGTTTTGTATTGGTGCATTATTGGTCCTTGGAATTCAGGTAACTTATTTCTTATTTTCTCACAATTTGAAATATGAGGAAAAAAACTACTCTTATGAATATTCATTTTGTGCAGAAGTCAAAGTTTTGAAAGACTATGTCGCTCATTATACAATGTAATAGATTCTTTACATATTTCACCACTGTGTGAATTGTTGTACTGTAAATTTTCTAAGAGTTGGGAAGCAATATGGTGAGAATGGATAAGATGTCCCTGAATATCAGTGGGTGTCAGTAATTTTGTTCAGCTCCATCATAGTAGAACTTTCAAATTTCACATGTACAATACATATATATAAATCATGATGTTCCATCCAAGTTCATTAGTTGAACTTTGACCTTGTTATTGGTAAATAAAAACATGTTTATCTCTTGTGGATTTCCTATTCTAATTTTCATCTTTCAACATTACCATCATTAGTGTTGACCTTGACCCTGATTTATACATGTATATCTTTAATTTTTAAACAGCCATTTTTAGATTGAATCAGGATGCTCTATTTTCAAAAAACCTCACTGTATTCTGCCTTTGATCAGTAAATTAAAAAAAAAAAAAATATAAATTCAGTAAGCAGGTACCATGTAAATATATGATGTCTGTAGTAATTTGTTTTTATTATCAGACTTTTGCCCAGTCTTGTCCTGGACCAGGAGATTTTTATATTCACAGAAATGCCAACATCTACTGCAAGAAAATTTACAACTGTCCTCCAGGTAAGACCTTCAGTTAATTGTTTTTACTATTTTCTAGTTTTTACCTGTTGAATTACTGTTAAATAGGTTGAGAAGTTTCAACTTATTATGAGGTAGGTTGAGAAGTTTCAACTTATTGTTAAGTAGGTTGAGAAGTTTCAACTTTTTGTTAAGTAGGTTGAGAAGTTTCAACTTAATGTTAGGTAGGTTGAGAAGTTTCAACTTCTTGTTAAGTAGGTTGAGAAGTTTCAACTTATTGTTAGGTAGGTTGGGAGGTGTTTTCTATGAGTGAATTCACAAATGTAACTTAGGAAGTATGGGAAATTCTATTTTTTGAGTGCAGGAAATTAACCACTGATCCCAATAGTCATGGTAACAATTTCTAATTTTGTTGTTCAATATTTACCACCTTCCTATTCAAGTAGACATTGATATGTTTTTTTTTTGTCTTACATTCTAGGGCATGAGATTATTCCGTGTAATAAAACCTGTGCAGAAGAGAGATGTGTTCCATGTGCGAAGGGGAAAGCTCAGCCATTCCTAAGTCACTCGGACCAGCGTAGGGTCTGCTTCATACCAGAAACCCAGTGTAATCCCAGAGGTGATTTATTTGAAAAAAAATTTCACAAATTGTGTATCTGATGAAAACGTTTTTCTATTTTGATGCAAAAAGGGGCATAACTCAGTTTCTTTTTCAACTTGGAAAAAAAAATGAGTTATTATCCTTTTCAGTGTCAATAAACTTGATCATAGTGGCAGAGTTTGACTTATGTGGTGGTGCCTGAGAAACTATAGATTATTTTTTTTTTATCCTTATACAATCCTTGTAAACATGAAACAATTCATTGATACACATGAAAATCACAGGTACACAGTTAAACATGGTTACCGCAGACACATATTTAACAAATTCATGTTTTTTTCGAAGAGATTTTCATACCATGTAGTTTTTAAATTTCTTTAACATAAAGAATTTAACAAGTTGCTTTTATAGTGAATCAAAATTGTTCTTCCCTGGCAATTCATTCTGTACATGTATTTAGAATCATTTTGTTTTTTACAGCAAATATATTTTTCAAATTTTTTTTTTACATATTTAAAAAAAAACTCTATTTCAGATACAATTCCAATACAAAATGGGACATTTTCCCCAAGCTGTGCAATGCAGAAAAACTGTGCTTGTAATATCAGTAAATGTTTTTATGGCAGTCCATGTATATGTGAAAGAAATTTCTCACCATGTGGCATAAATGAAGAAATGAATGCAAATGGAGGTAAATCAGTCATGTGTGACATATCTAAACTAGAGTAAATAGGTCAGATGTAATATTTCTTAATTAGAGGTAAATCAGTCATGTGTGACATATCTAAACTAGAGATAATAGGTCAGATGTAATATTTCTTAACTAGAGGTAAATCAGTCATGTGTGACATATCTAAACTAGAGATAATAGGTCAGATGTAATATTTCTTAACTAGAGGTAAACCAGTCATGTGTGACATATCTAAACTAGAGATAATAGGTCAGATGTAATATTTCTTAAGTAGAGGTGAATCAGTCATGTGTGACATATCTAAACTAGAGTTAATAGGTCAGATGTAATATTTCTTAACTAGAGGTGAATCAGTCATGTGTGACATATCTAAACTAGAGTTAATAGGTCAGATGTAATATTTCTTAATTAGAGGTAAATCAGTCATGTGTGACATATCTAAACTAGAGTTAATAGGTCAGATGTAATATTTCTTAACTAGAGGTGAATCAGTAATGTGTGACATATCTAAACTAGAGATAATAGGTCAGATGTAATACTTCTTAACTAAGGGTTAATCAGTCATGTGTGACATATCCAAACTAGGGATAATAGGTCAGATGTAATATGTCTTAACTAGAGGTAAATCAGTCATGTGTGACATATCTAAACTAGAGTTAATAGGTCAGATGTAATATTTCTTAACTAGACGTAAATCAGTCATGTGTGACATATCTAAACTAGAGATAATAGGTCAGATGTAATATGTCTTAACTAGAGGTAAATCAGTCATGTGTGACATATCCAAACTAGAGATAATAGGTCAGATGTAGTATTTCTTAAGTAGAGGCAAATCAGATGAAATGTAACGCTTTTTAAAAAAGATGAGATAATGGATTTTTGTTTGAAGGTTAATTGTATGTTATGTGTTTACAGATTGTGTGAAGTGCAGGGAAGGGTATCAGAAACTCTATAAAGGTTGTGATCAGTGTGAGAGAATCGTCCCCGAGCTACCCTCACCACCGCCTCAGACTAATACCACAACAGGTAGAGGGATACAGCTCAGTATCGGCATCTTAACTTCTTAAGTATCAGAAAATTGATGACCAAATTGAAAAAAAAGATGCCTTTTTTTTTTTTTACAAATATCATTATCTGCAGTGTTAAAATTTAATATGTGTATTATATACTTCCTTTGTTTGTTATTAGCTTCAAAACCTGACACAGTCAAAACAGAATCAACTGCCCAGAGCACTAGGGTTAACATAAAATATACAACACGGACCTCACAGAAACCATATGTAACGGTGTCACCACCACCAGGAAGTTCACCACAGGGACGCCACACAGAGGAGGGCAGAGATGATAATGGCACCATTCTCATTGTGTAGGTTATAGCCAATGATTACATAAATCCCCAGAAGTGGGGGGGGGGGGGAGATAATAGTATCATCCTCATGTTTGACATATCCAAACTAGAGATAATAGGTCAAAAGTAGTCTTTTCATCAGAGAGAAATATATTTTTGGGCACATTGCATTATTGTGTTTTAATGGTTATTGAAATCTTTCACATTGATATTTAACTGTATTGCCTGCTTATGTTTACTTTTCCTATTCATTTAATGTTATCTATTTCAGAGTTTTTGTTGTGATTGGATTAATCCTGGTTGCCTTGATTGTAGTTCTGTTATTAATGCGTAAATATGGAAGACGTCCCTTTATAGCTAAGATCTGCAGAGGTATGTGATACAGAAACTTTGTAAGCATTTTTGAATTAAGTCTGTGAAAGTTTCCAGTGATGTAATTTTTGTGCTTAAGATTTGTATACCTCCCTGAAGTCTTTTCGAAAAGCTCTCTCTCTCATTTTTGTTTTTTGTTTTTAAAAAAATTTGAAGAAATTCACAACATTACAGATTGTTTAAAGGGACTTAAACACAGTTGTGTTGGTGTTTTGTTCACAATTTTTAATTTCTTCTTTATTTGACAGAGAGAGAAGCACCTGATCAAAGAGGGAACCACGCAAACGGTGATGTCGGCCGTGAATTAGAACATGTTACAGTCCCTGTTGAGTAAGTGCCTTATTTTTGCTGAGAAACTTTTCAAATTTGCTTTTAATTGGTTATAATTTACAGGAGATGTACATACAAATTGATAGTTAGAATTAGCCACCAAGATCTGGCTCTTTAAGATCTGTCATAGAGTTTTCTGGAAAAAGTTGAACCCAAAGAAAATACAGTGGACCTTCAGATATCCGGACGCCAGATATCCGGACGCTTCAGTTTCCGGACGATTTTTCATGGGAACGAAATTTTTTAACATTATTTTGTCTCGTTTAACCAGAATTCCGCGTTCCGTATCCGGACGGTCTTTTTTCACCACAGAATGAATTTTTACGTTATATTTTAGTTCATTTATCCGGACGATAATTTTTTAGCTTGTCTGTCAAGTCTGCTCAAATTTCTTGATCTGGGTGTTAATTGTAAAAACACTGGTCTGGTTGTTTGTTTTAAAAGATGATCACCTGCGACCTGTTATCAATGGCTTGCGGCAAGGTTAATTGTAGGTCGAGAGGTACGCACGAGACTCGCTTCTCTAACATGGTTTTGATACGTATTAATTAAGGGAAATAATTTTATAAGTCTAGGATAATTTTTTCGTAGTCGGCAAATATATTTCTTTTACTGTTAGAAGACAGTCGTAACAATGTTTTATGTCTTTATAGACATGACATCGGAGTTTTTTATGCACAGTATTGTGCGCGCAAAACGCATTCTATGATTTGATGACATTTATAAAATAACTTTCAAAATTACACAATCGTTAAATACGATCTCGCTTTGGATGATTACGATTAGCGTTCGTATACATGTGCAGATTATGTTATATTTAGCATCGATGGGCATTCATATTAAATAAGACTCTACCGACAGTACCGACATGGCTACTAGGAGAAGTCGATTCATTACACACTGGGAAATAAAAATAATTAATGTGACCATATAAACACGTTTTTTTCCCAATGACACATGTACTTTTTTATTTATTTAAACAAGTATTGAGTAGTACTAAACTTATACTAAAGTATTTAAACAATAAAACATATTGATATAAAGCAGCATTCTTCACTATTGTCAATGGTACGAAAGGCCATATAACTAAAATCAGCGCAATTCAGGTATCCGGACGCTTCACATATCCGGACGAATTAACTGGGAACCAAAGCGTCCGGATAAATGAGGCTCCACTGTATGTCTCCGCTTTCCAGACCAACCCTAATATATAGTGCCAACCCTAACCTTTTCAATGCTTTCTTAGTGAAGATCTAAGTTTTTAGTTTTTGTCTGATGTATAAAATTTTTAGCTATAAATTTAAGTCACAGAAATGCTTTCTTTTATAATCAGTGTGACCTAGATGTTTTGTTTATGGAAGTCCAGGGAAAAATTGAAAACTTTTTATGAAAAAATTCCTATTTACCTACCCAAATTTTTTCAGCCTGAAAGTGGAATCAAACATTTTTTTTTCTCAACCTTATTTACATGTACCCTTTTAAAACTGTCAAGGAGTAATAGAATTTTAAAATTTGCTAAACCTAAATATTTAGCAGTGTAAGCATTCAAACTTTTCTAGGTACAAAGAAGAGGGTACGGTTTTGGCTTTATTGTGCCCTAAAAATTTAATGTTTTCAAAAAGTTTTGAAATTGACATAAGTATGAGTTGAGTATATGAGCGTTATAATTCATGAAGGAATATGGCATGAAGGAGGACCATTCTGCAAAGATGGTGTCATTAATTTCGTATTTTTCTAGGTTTTAAGCAGAAAAGGGCTCAAAATGACTCATTTCAGTGGGTATTTTCCTTGAGAAAATAGTGTCCACAGCCGTCGCCCACTTTAATATTCTGATATGTTGAGTAAAATTCTTTGACAAATCATATTTCTCAAAATCTTTGCGGGCGATGCATGTGGTCTATATTATCTGAAAGAAAATTTCACTGAAAATTGATGTCTTCTGCAACTTTTTAAGAAAATACGGGAAAATGCACAAGTTTATGACGTCACAATTAGCACTAGGAAGTCAAATGAGAAAAACGATTTGTTTGATCATAGTGCATGGAGTTTCAACATTTCAGAAAGCATGAATTTTAATTTCTTTCATCACTTTCATATTTTAGAAAAATACAGGGCTAGATTTGTATTGAAACTGTACATTGTTCTTTTGTTTTACTATTTTCTGTACAATGAATTATTGACTTTTTCAGGACTGATCTGTCTGGAACCCTTCGTCCAGAACTAATGCGATTAGTGTCATCGGATCGTAGTGACAGTGGCTACGAACATCACCCTAGTTTGGAGTCACAGATTTCCCACAATTCCCACATTTCTGTTTCTACCCCAGTCCAGGTTACAGATGGAGGAGAGGACCTCCATCCACTTTTGAGGACAGTCAGCCATGATCCTGGTAGGTGTGCTCAAAACAGAAGTTGAAGTGTGTTGTTAGTTACAGTCAAACCTCGTTGTCTCGAACTCAATTGCACCGAGAAAAAACTTCAAGATATCCGAAGTTTAAAAGTGTTGTTAGTTCAGGGCTCGACATTAACTTTTTTTCCTACTTGTCCATTCGGACAAGTGACCAAGACATTTACTTGTCCGAACTTCAACTTCACTTGTCCGAAAATTTTTCAATAGAGATCTAATACTGTCAACTTGAAAACTAAAATAAAGTCCATTACACATGGCATGTGCTTGATTGATTCGTGATGTTATTGATAAATACAAAAAACACATAAAATAAAATTTTATCTAGGCTTTCTGTCCTGACAACAACATAAATGTCCACATTCGTTAAGTTCGTAAGTTCCATGCCTTTTCAGTAGTATGCAATTAGTGAACTTCGATCCCGATCGAATGTGAACTCAATTAACGATCTCTATCGGGATCGAAGTCCGGTTTTTATGTACAGCTTCCGTCTTGAAACTACCGAATAACTTTCAACAGTCGTTATTTTTATTATTTAGACACTCTTTTACATTAAAATGCACTTGTCCAATCGGACAAGTGCCCGGCAATATTCACTTGTCCGTAATTTTTTTTCACTGGTACCGGACAAGCGGACAAGCGTTAATGTCGAGCCCTGTAGTTCTGTGAATCTTTGAGGGGCAGAATGTGTTATTAGTTATGTGAATCTTTGAGGAGTAGAATGTGTTGTTAGTTATGTGAATCTTTGAGGGGTAGAATGTGTTATTAGTTATGTGAATCTTTGAGGGGTGAATGTGTTGTTAGTTATGTGAATCTTTGAGGGGCAGAATGTGTTGTTAGTTATGTGAATCTTTGAGGAGTAGAATGTGTTGTTAGTTATGTGAATCTTTGAGGAGTAGAATGTGTTGTTAGTTATGTGAATCTTTGAGGGGTAAAATGTTGTTAGTTATGTGAATCTTTGAGGGGTAGAATTTTTTTTTTTCTAATGTGAAGATTTTTACACAGTTTACAGCCATCTAATAACTATAAATTTTTTTGACTTCTTAAAAATTGCCTTTTTGTGAAAAGCTTGACGTTTATTTTGTTCAATTTGGAACTACACTGTATACTGTACTTTATGTTCATATATCTGCCTTCATAATGTCTTGTTAATTTGTATACATTATAGATGCCTCAAATTATATCGGGACAAATAGTTCACCTGTTTCGGGATCACTTGACCCCCCGTCCCTGGGGACCAGCACACTAGACGCACCCAGCACTGTAGGATCCATGGCAGTGTCTGAACCCATTAGGGAGGAAATCAATCTAGGTACTGTTTAATATGTATACCAATAATAAGTTGAATTAAATAAAATTTTTGTTTTAAACAAGATTCATGTTGTAGGTATTTTTGGAGATGAGGTTTAGAGATACTGTACTTCTATTTTTTCCACGTTTATTAACACAACACTATGTACACAGTCACAATTTGTCTGTGGAAATTTGTGACTGCATGCTTAAAATGCATTAAGGACGTGTGATGTCAATCCAAGAAATACACAAAATTTTCTACCCGCAGATTGACAGATATTGCGAATCCGCAGAATTATGACTATGTGGAAAAATGTATGTTCACAGTAGTCAAAATTGACTACAAACTACAAATAGAAATGATTTTTTAAAAAAATGTCTACACCAGTTAATATAACTTTTCATGTTTCAGGCACAAGAAGTGGTAACATTTTATTCACCGATTTATAAGTTTAAATGAAATACATGTATATCATATATTGTATATTCATGAATGAAACTCTTTAATGCTATTGAGGAATGCAAAGAAAAGGAAGACTTTAATTCTTGAGATTTAAGTTCCATTGTTTGGTTTTAAAGAAGATGGGTGAACAAGGCGTACAGAATGCCTATAGCTTCAAATATTAAAAAAATCATATTCAATTCGTGAATTAAGTATTTAAACAAAGTTCTCATTGAAATTTATGAAATTATGATCAACAAAACTTTTCTGAGAAAAAAGATCTCAGAAAAATTATCTTTTATTAAAAAAATAAATTGGTATTCGTGGGATTCAAACCCCTAACAATAAAAATCCAGAGTATCGTATTATTTTGAGAATAACATGCTAACCACTATGTTACACAGCACCTGAAAAGTAGTGGCATTTAAATCATGTTTGTGATATGACCCTTGACTTAATGGACTTCAAGTATTTCTCTCAGAAAGATGCGAATGTTTTGTCATAAAAAAGTACTTTTAAGGTCTTTGCTCCATGTTCTTGTAAACCCAAAAAATATATATTTTTATGCAAATTTTTAGGATTAACTTTCAAAAAAATGGAGCAAAGACCCACTCATATAGAAAAATTTTGTTTAAGTATGAGAAAATGATCCTTTTTGTCCTCTTTAGTGTGTGTATGCTATTTCATAGGCAAATATTTTCAGTCTTTGTGAGATTTTTGTAAATTGTAGAGATTTTACATAAAGAATACTTTAATGTTAGAAGTAAATATCAAAGAAAATTTTGATATAATTGAGATTTTATTTTTCACTTCATGTTTGCTCGCACTATAGGTACTTCGCCCGCCTTGTTCACCCTTTATTTGCATATGATGCCTTGTATTTATGCTTTTAAATCTCAGGAGGAGACCATGTAAACAGAATGCTAACAATTACCAGTATAGTAAATTGATATGTTTACAACAGAATATGTATAAATGCAGTCTTAGAATTTCTGAATAAATGACATTTACCTGTTTATTATCTTATGTTATTGAATGAACTTAACTTTTGACTTGAATTCCAGATGTGAAGGGAACTATTCCGACCAATGATCCATGTGTTACGGAGGAGATTCCCAGCGGCCACGAGGATAATGATGTAAGACTCGGATGTACTGCTGTGGAAAACGAAGAGGATACACAAGAAAAGAGTAAAGACTCTTCACATCTGGACAGTCTACAGATACAAAAACAACAGATCAGATAGTGCTACGGAGCGTTAGAGTTATCTACCCAATTCTCTCCTGAATTATCATCTTTATTCTCACTCTTCACATCTGGACAGTCTCCAGATAAAAAAACAACAAATCAGATAGTGCTAAGGACTGTTAGAGTTATCTACCCAATTCTCTCCTGTATGATCATCTTTATTCTCCTGTGCATCTCATTGTGTTAAGTTTCCTGTCCTCTGTGTACCAGTACTACAGTTCAACACTGTCACAATTCCTCCAGTCATTCTTATAAAGATTTATTGTAGGAGGAATTCCAGAAGATTACTGATGCTGTGATATGAAGATGTACAAGTTTCATATCTAATTCAAAGAGATTTGAAGGAAATTTAATCTAATAGACTTGAACAGAAATTGTGCCTAGTGATTTGTACTTAACACATTATAATTTATAGCTTCGTTACTATGGAAATGAAGTGATTACGTCACAGACAGGTAACAGAAGCTGTTCCTATGGTTGTATGATGTTACGTGTATGGAAACAGAGCTTAATATGTTGGCATTATCTTTGAAAACTACTGCTATCTCACTTCAAAGATTTTTTTATAATCTTTTTGCACACCAGAATAGATTTATTTTTCCAAGGCATTTCTTTGAAGTTTTATTTTTCTTATATTGCAATTGCTGAATTTAGTGAAGTTGTGTATGTTTGTTTTGTTTTTGTTTTGAACAACTACATAGTGAAGCTTTCCATTTTATCTACTAACTTAGAAATAAAGAGTAAGAATCTTAAATACAAAGTTAACAACAGGTGCTTGTACATCTGTTTCACTGCTAATGGAATTTTATTTATTCCCTTACTGAAAATGCTCAAGCCAATATTTCAAAGGTTGTAATAAACTTTGTAGATATTGAGATGGTAGAATTTTTTGGATTAATATACAACAATATACATGTACGTAAGTAAGTATGTTAGTAGTACGATGTTCTGCGTGAGGTGAAAGGACTTACCAGTGGTGAGCGTGTATGACTTACCAGTGGTGAGCATGTATAATTGTGAAACCTATCAGTGTCTGATATAGAATCTCTCCCTACAATCAACTTAAGTCCCTTTTCATCATATTTAGGAAGACAAATCATTCATTACAGCATCACATTCATTTGTGTATCATTTAATAAAGAAAGTTGCTCATTTTTTATGTAGAAGTACTCTAATATATCCATTTTTCTGAAACCTGCAAGAAAAACGTGCCATATGTACATGTATTCATAAAATTCTATGAGATTTTATTTCCTTGAAATTTACAGAGTGGTTTGATGTTGTCATACAATTTCACGTAAGAGTTAAGACTTTAAGACTTGTCTCTTTGGAAAAAAACCAGAGTTTAGCATTTCTTGTAAGTTCTAAAAATTGTAAATGTTAATATAGGTCACTCTGTCCAGATTGTGTGTACAAGTTGAATGTGAAACAGAAATTTGAAAGAGGTTTCTACATTTGTTACTGCACTGACAAATTTCTGTCCAAAAGAACATTCTATATTTTTTCAAAAGTAACATGTGCGAAATTTACAACACCAGGTAGTCTGTTTTGCTTGATTGTGGAGAGGTGTATTGTTCAGTGCTATCAGCACAAGTTTTTAAAACGAAAAATCCCTTGTCTAGCATAATGATTTATTGTAACACCTGTCCAACTTTCAGCAATGTTTGTATCTTTAATCTAAGATGTTTTAACTGTAAAATACTTTGGTATAACTGTATTAGGAAAATCGTAGGCATTCCCCAGGGTAATTGGTATATAAAAATATATTAACTATACTATATAATAAATATAACATTTATAGTATAGAAGATTTATTTTTACTTCTCAATTAAGCTAAGGAGTACCTATGAGGAAAATGAGAACTGAAATATGCCTGGGGATTGCTGTAATTGTCAAAACACAAAGTTGCCATAGATAATAGGCACTCTATGTTTGCACCAAACTTTTTTTTCACATGTATAGTTTTGGCAGCAATGAGTTGTATGTGTATAGGGAACTTTAAAATATGAAGCAATAGAGATATTTTTATAGCAATGTTATGGTCAGTGTCTTAATAATGTTGTTGTTGAAAACAAGTGTATAAGGTATGAAAAATATGTTTGAACTACTTTCCATGTACTTGTATTTTTTACTAATTTTTCTTTGAAACAATTCAAGAGGCATTTTCAAAAAATGCAAAGGACATTAATTAAATAATTATATAAAGTTGAGCCTTAGTAATCCAGATACTGCATCTTCCAGACGAAATTTGTTGGAACAGCGTCATTTTAAAGGTCAGATATAGATACATATAAGACACTTCATTAATCCAACAATTTGTTTGGGAACACAAGCAAGGCTCAACTGTAGTTGTGTTTAAAATCATGTTTATATTAAGAAAATTCTTCAGATGGCAATAACATATCTAAAATGGCATTAATATTGAAAATTGAAATTATATTGCGATGAATTGAAAACATTAAGTTTTTAGCTTGTATGTTTTAAAATTTTAAAAGCATAATTTTTATAATGACTTTTTTGTACTATAATCTCTAAGAGGGAGAAGTGAATGGGAATCGATTCTTGTTACACTGAATACTTGTGGGATGTAGTTTGTATTGTGAACAGTTCTTTATAATTCTACATGTATCAGTTGAGTGTGATTCTCCATGCTTTGTAGGTGATGAATTTCTTTTTTTTTTATGTTTGTTGATATATAACCATGACATTTGTTTAGTTTTAACAAATGATATAGGAAAAGAGTGAATGTGTTTTTAACATTGAAGTTAAGTAGTTGTTATGTGCTTTAAACAGATATATATATATATATATATTATAGGTTGCAGTATATTATATAATATGCAATCGTGCTTATCTTCAGAATTTATCATGAGTATATTATCTATGTTCACTTGATAAAGTATTGCAATTAATTCATTTGTATACAAAATTAATTTGAAAAGATTTTTAAGTAAAAAATATATTTTTGTTTTCATGAAAAGGCTTGATGTCATTTTGGATTAAGAAACTCTAGGAAAAAATACCGGTGTCATTCATTTGAATAGAAAAATAACTTGAGTTAATTCATTTCATTTGAAAGTAATGTCTGCAAACCACTGCAATCTTGTATTTTTCATTTGCTTCAGTAGATATTATACCATGTGACATAATTAAAATGACAGAAAGAGATTTTTTTTTGTTTTAAATTATGTCAGTGCAATAACTGAAAAAGTTCATGCTGTTGCCTTTGACCAAAAGGTGTCATGATCTTGGATAATAAGGTCATAGTCACCTTGCAATAAAATTGTCTCCAAACCATAAATTTGGAACCTGTTACTGAATTCAAAGTTAATCATGTTGCTGATGATGTAAAAGTGTGTTCTGATCTTTACTCAAGGGTACATCTCAGAAATCAAGGTCACTAGGCATTTATGTATAAACCAGTTACAGCCTTCTAAAGTATTATTTGGATAAGAAACAACATGGCAGTTAGGTTTGAAGTTTTTAGGTCACCTGAGTCACTCAGCTTCTTCACTTAAACCACATAACCAATTTCAACCAATTTTGGCATATAGCATCTATGGGTAAAGGGGAACAAAAATTTTGAATTTCAGGGTCCCTGCCCCACTGGGGCCTAAGGGGTGGGGCTAAAACCACCAAAATTAATGCAATCTTTAAAAATCTTCTTCTTTACTCCTGGACATCAAGCAGTCAAACTGTTGGCATGATTGTAATAAGCAGTGAGCCTTCTACCAAAATTGTGAAATTCATGGCCCCAGGGTCAGGGGTTCTGGTGTTAGGGCGGGGCTATATAGATCATATAGTGAAAGTGCACTATTTCTTTGAAAATCTTTTCCTCTGCTCCTGGGTATTAAAGTAATTACATAGTTATGATGAGCAAGAGTGCCTCTTCCAAAATTGTGAAATTCATGACCCCTGGGTCAGGGGTTCTGGTATTAGGGTGGGGCCTATTGATTATTTTGTGAAAATGCATTAATTCTTTGAAAATCTTTTCCTCTGCTCCTGGGTATTAAGCCGATGAACTAAGTACATAGTTATGATGAGGAAGAGTACCTCTTCCAAAATTATGAATTTCATGGCCCCTGGGTCAGGGGTTCTGGTGTTAGGGCGAGGTTCTTATGATAATGTATGAAAATGCATTAATTCTTTGAAAATCTTCTCCTCTGCTCCTGGGTATTAAGCCGATGAACTAGGTACATAGTTATGATGAGGAAGAGTACCTCTTCCAAAATTATGAATTTCATGGCCCCTGGGTCAGAGGTTCTGATGTTAGGGTGGGGCTCTTATGATTATATAGTGAAAATGCATTAATTCTTTGAAAATCTTCTCCTCTGCACCTGGGTATTAAATAAACTAACTAAGTATATAGACTAAGTTATGATGAGCAAGAGTGCCTCTTCCAAAAGCTTGAATTTCATGGCCCCTGGGTCAGGGGTTCTGGTGTTAGGGCAGGGCTGTTTTATTTATGTAGTGAAAATGCATTTATTCTGTTAAATAATCCTTAGTGTTGAGCATATAAACAAAGTGCATAGTTATAATGAATAAGGGTGCTTCTTACAAAATGTTAAAAATTTTGTGGTCCCAGGGTGAGGAGTTTTTGTCTTTCTCATGGGGGGGGGGGGGCTATTGATAACATAAGTGAAAATGTGTTAATTTTTTGAAAATATTCAGCCAAGTGGAGAGTTATGATGATGAGGGTACCTCTTTCAAATTTGTGATGAGGATACCTCTTCCAAATTTGTGAAATTCATGATCCTGGGTCATGGGTTTTGGTGTTAGGGTAGGGCTGTGTTGAATCTGTAGTCATGGTACATGTAGTGAAAATGCATTATTTCTTTGAAAATCTTCTCTGTTCCATGGCATATCAAAGGCAAACAAAGTAAAAGTTTTAATAAGAAAGATTATTTTTACCAGTTTTTAAACATCTGGACCATTTGGTCAAGTGTTCTGGTCCTCGCCAGGGCTCTATTAATTTGTATTCTACTGAGAGAAGTTATTCCCCTTTGCAATTAACTTTTGATAATTAATCATTGAAAATAATGTATTTGAAAAGTTAATAGAACAAGCATTCTGAGAGTATTGCATTAGCAATACTAGTCCCCTACCTGCAAGTGTAATCTGGTTCCTGCTAAAAATTGAAAATACCATAATTCCATCAAAAATCAATGAAGTGGAAAGAAATGCGAACTTGATCTATAACTCATCAAGGTTAAGTCACATACCAAAAATCAGCTCAATATCTGCAAGCATTTAGAAGAAAAGTGCGGAAAAAAACCAAGTGGGACAGACTGACAGACAGATGGACAGACGGACGGACAGACTCGGAGGAAACCTATAGTCCACTCCGGTTTCACCAGTAGGGGACTAATAAGATCTAGAGAATTATGCAAAATATTTTTATAAAAAACTAACCCATTATAGACATTGTTAGGGACTCCCATAAATGGACTTTGTTGGGAACTCCCTGATGTGGACATTAATAGGGACTCCCATTAAAGACATTGTTAGTGACTCCCTGATGTGGACATTGTTTGGAACTCCCACAAGTGGACATTGTTAGGGACTCCCATATGCGGACATTGTTAAGGACTCCCAAAAGGGGACTTGTTTGGGACTTCCATTTTTGAACTTTGTTAAGAGCTCTCATATTTGACATTGTTTGGGACTCCCATATGTGGACATTGTTGGGGACTCCCATATGTGTACATTAATAGGGACTCCCATATGTGTACATTAATCCAGACTTCCATGAGTGGACATTGTAAGGGACTCCTATTATAGACATTGTTAGTGACTCCCTGATGTGGACATTGTTGTGCACTCCCATATGTGGACATTGTTAGAGATTCCCATATGTGGACATTGTTAGGTACTCCCGTAAGTGGACATTCTTTGGGACTTCCATTATAGACATTGTTAGGGACTCCCATATGTGTACATTGTTAAGGACTCCTGTTAAAGATATTGTTAAGGACTTCCATAGGTGTGCTTTGTTAGGGACTCCAATATGTGGACATTGTTCAGAACTCCCATATGTGGACATTGTTAAGGACTCCCATAAAGGGACTTGTTTGGGACTTCCATTTTTGAACATCATTAGGGACTCTCATATGTGAACATTGTTAGGGACCCCCTTTATAGACATTGTTAGAGACTTCCATGAGTGGACATTGTTAGGGACTCCCACATGTAAAAATTGTTAGGGACTTCCATGAGTGGACATTGTTAGGGACTCCTGTATGTGGACATTGTTTGGGACTCCTGTATGTGGACATTGCTTGGGACTTCCATATGTGGATATTGTTAGGGACTCCCATATGTGGACATTGTTAGGGACTCCCATATGTGGACATTGTTTGGGACTCCCATATGCCAACATTGTTAGGGACTCCCATATATGAACATTGTTAGGAACTTCCATAAGTGAAGGGACTCCCATGTGCAGACATTGTTAAGGACTCCCATAAGGGGACTTGTTTGGGACTTCCATTTTTGAACATTGTTAGGAACTCTCATATGTGAACATTGTTAGGAACCCCCTTTATAGACATTGAAAGGGACTTCCATATGTGGACATTATTAGGGACTCCATATGTGGACATTGTATGGGATTCCCATATGTGGACATTGTTAGGGACTCCAATACAGTGGATGTTGATATTGTTATGGACCCCCATATGTGTACATTGTTAGGAACTCTATGTGGACATTGAAAGGGTCTCCCATATGCATACATTGTTATGGACTTGCATATATAGTCATTGTTTGGGAGTCCTATATGTGGACATTGTAAGGGACTCCCGTTTTATACATTGTTAGAGACTCCCGTATGTGGACATTGTTTTGGACTCCCATATATGAACATTGTTAGGGACTCCCATATGTGAACATTGTGAGGGACTACCATATGCAGACATTGTTAGGGACTTCCATATGTGGACATTGTTGGGGACCTCCACATGTACACTCTGCTATGGACTCCCGTAAGTGGACATTGTTAGGGACTCCCATTATAGACATTGTTAGGGACTCCCATATGTGGACATTGTTAAGGACTCCCATTACAGATATTGTTAAGGACTCCCATTACAGATATTGTTAAGGACTCCCATATGTGTGCATTGTTAGGGACTCCCATATGTGGACATTGTTAGGGACTCCCATAAGTGGACATTGTTAGGGACTCCCATATGTGGACACTGTTAGGGACTCCCATATGTGGACATTGTTAGGGACTCCTTTAAGTGGACAATGTTTTGGACTTCCATATGTGGACATTGTTGGGGACTCACATATGTGGACATTGTTAGGAACTCCCATATGTGGACACTGTTAGGGACTCCAATAAAGAGAATGTTGACATTGTTAGGGACTCCCATATGTGTACATTGTTAGGGACTCCCATATGTGTACATTGTTAAGGACTCCCATGAGTGGACATTGTAAGGAACTCCCATTATAGACATTGTTAGAAACTCCCATATGTGGACATTGTTTGGGACTCCTATGTGTGGACATTGTTAGGGACTCCCATAAGTGGACATTGTTTGGGACTTTCATTATAGATATTGTTAGGGACTCTCGTATGTGGCCATTGTTTGGGACTTCCATTATAGACATTGTTTGGGACTCCTGTATGCAGAGTTTGTTAGGGACACTGTTGTGGATATTGTTGGGGACTTCCATGAGTGGACATTGTTAATGGACATTGTTAGGGACTCCCATTATATACATTGTAATGGACTCCCGTAAGTGGACATTGTTAGGGACTCCCCTATGTGAACATGTTAGGGACTCCCATATGTGGACTTAGTTTGGGACTCCCATATTTGGACATTATTAGGGACTCCCATATGCAGACATTGTTTGGAACTCCCATCTGTGGACATTGTTAGGGACTACCATATGTAAACATTGTGTTGGACTACCATATATGGACATTGTTTTGAACTCCCATATGCGGACATTGTTAGGGACTCTCATATGTAAACATTGTTAGGGACTCCCGTATATGGACATTGTTAGGGACTTCCATAGAGACCATGTTACTGTACCCCCTGATACCATGAATCTATAGGATTTAAACCACAGACGTGTGAACTTAGATGTATCAAATATAATTACAGGGTACAGCCCTCTCCTCCCCTACTGAGAGAGTGTAATACAGTGAAACTTGTCTATTATGGAGGTTGTGTATTCCAATACAATGTAAACATCAAGCCCCTTACAATTAATTTAATTGTTTAAAATGTTGTCTAATCGGGCCCATTTCTAAGGGACCAGTGATGTCTGGATAAGACAATTTTTACTGTAAATTTACACTGTCATATTCTTCCATACCTTCAACAAAGATCAACTATTCAAGTTTTACATCATATTTATTATGTCAGTTAAGATTTGGCTAGAATTGTCTTACAACCATTGCTTTTACAAGGAAAAACAAACATATGAAATGAAACAAACACATGCAATATGGCCTGCACATCTGTTCTGTGCAAATAAATATAATGCTTAACAAACGTTCATATATCTGAAAAGTTGTATCCTAGAGAAATGTAAATGTTAAAAAATGCATTTAGGCACAATCAACAATATCATAACCCATGCTTTACAAAGTCATTGCTCATTAAAAATCTAAGTTAATTAGAAATAAAATTACAGACTAAGACTGCTACATATTTGTATACTTGTGGAGAGTCTGGAGAAACCATCAGTCAAAAATCTCAAGGAATTTCAAACTTAAAAGAATTTCAAACAGCAACAGATTAAATGGCTTTAAAACAAAATAATTTATTTAAAAAGAAAAGGTTACATTACAGCCACAACATTTAGACTGCAGTTTTTAAATTACAACATGTACATTTGTACATGTATTCATTATCATAATTATTAGTGTCACAATTTAATAAATATCCATTTTTTAAAAATAACATACCTCCCTTACCCCCCTTTCAAAAAAAAAAAATCCAAATCCATTAATCTGTACCCATTTTTAGGAAGACCCAAAAATATTATTGTGTTCAGTTGTGGGATAAAATGTTCTGTGCCACTGAATTCAGAATTTATATATATATTGATGGACATTTAAGTACTAACACCACACTTAACTGAAGAGCAAATGCACGGGAACTACATCTACAGCAATAAATAATCAAATTTAACAATAAACCACTGTACAATTCCTAGATCCATTCATTAGATCATTTCAAATTCATGATTTAAATTATTAAATCTATCAATATAAAATCACACACATTCAAGTAACTGTACAGTTACTAAAAATGAAGATTAAAAATTCTTGTACAATTATGTAGGAACCAGTATCTACATGTTGCTACATTTAAAAATTGGGATCAGAATTCTTAAAATTTTATAAAATCTTTTTAATAATAAAAAAGAGAGAGAGAAAGAACTAAAGCCTTATTGAAAAGTTACACTTCGTATAAGACTATTTTTTTTCTTACATTTACACCTGTGGCATGAGTTTTCTAAGGCCTTCTTAAACAAGATTTTCAATATGACTACATCATATTTACTGCAGCACTTAATGTACACATAATTCACAGATGACATCAAAATTGTTACAAGATGGGCCCTGTGGTGCAATTCGTAAAAAACTCTTAACATTTCAGGTTCAAACCCCAAGAAAAATTGTTGCAACTTTCCTCTATTGATTAAATTTAACCAAAACTATTATTCTTTGTCCTAGAAGATATCTGGCACTGCACTTAGTGGATGTGCTACTTTACACAGTAAAAGAGAAAATGTACTCAGACATCCTTATCAAACTTATTACATGTACCTCTGTACACATCGATATGATAAGCTCTTAAATCCCCCCCCCATATAATCTAGAGAAGTAAAACAATGTTATATTTTCATTTTAAAATGAACCTCGACAAACTCATTGGCAGCTTTAATGATTACTGAATATAATATCTGTTCCTCGTCCCCTTTTGAAAAGAAAAATAATCAAATACTGCAGAATGACCTCCGCACAGGAATTTATATACCTATACCAGGATGATTACACAAAACAGAAACATCTGGGATTATCATCCAATCTTGTGTAAAGTTATAAAAATGAATCTTTTCACACTAATATCTTGGAGTTCTCTTTTTTTATACTATACCACCCCCTCCCCTTTAAAAAGGCATGCTCTTTGGAATTATATTTAAAAGTCATTAGATTAGAATGTACATATTTCTAAAAAAAAAATCTTCAATTCAAACACAAAAAATGGCATGTAAATAATTTTCCTTAAGAGAAACTAAAGAGATCTTTCATAAAACCTGTGATGATATTTCTTTACACAATGAAATGTCATTTCCTCTGGTACACAAAGCTCACACCTTGCCATTACGTACTCTTATCACTGTATTCCAAGCCCCTTTTGGGTTTTCAAGTTAAGACAAAAATATTGCAAATTTACTATTTCACAATGTTACCTAAAATTATCAAAATAATACTGACACCCCCCCCCCCCCACAAATAAATAATTTGAAGAAAAAGCACCCCTTATCAATGAAACCTGTTCTGATCCAGGGACCATGATTAGTACTATATATATCTGTAAGGAGACAGTACTTTTATGTTCTCTTATAAGTAATTAATCTCTTGTAATTTGCTTAGCCCTTGTGATTGAAACATTTTATCACCCCCCCCCCCCCCTCCCCCGACTTGTTGCTAATACAGCCACCCCATCCCCCTCCCCTACAAAAAAAGTCCAGTGTTCCTTGGGGAGAACATGTTAAAAAATATGTAACAGACAAACAGATATCTAAATGTGATCAGAAAATCTTACTTGAGACTTTATCTCAATGGAGGTAAAATAATAAAAAGAGAGGACCTTCTTGTACAATTGATTACCAGCTACTACCGATGTGCTTTCTCAGAAAGCTCTCTTAATCACATAAATAATCCTCTCACTCTCAGATTGATACCACATCTATAAATGGAAGTAAGACATCGCTATTGACTAGACTTACAACACAGAGGGCAGGGATAAAAACAGAACTCGCTCACAAACACATACAATCACATGCACACCCTCACAATCACACACACACCCTCTCACACACACTAAAGAGACAAAATTTGCACAATTTTTCATCAGTTCCTGCACTTGCTTGTTGTTATAACACAATATTAACACACATGATAAAATCTTAACACACACACACACACACACAAACCTTCAGTCAGGAGGAGATTACTCTTCTTGTAATGGCCCTTTGAAATTTGAATGATGTGGAATATATTCTTATCTGTCCTATCTCTGACTCAGGTTCACAGAACCCAGTCATTGATGAAATGCAATTTACAAATAGTATAAAGTACTTATATCTCAAGAGACAATTTTAAAAATCTGAATTTACAACATTACAGAATTGTTCGACATTAATTCCATCAACATTAGCCCTTCATTCTTAGAGCCCATATACATCATGAACATACATAATGACTCTATCTTCCAGTTATTCCTACTGCAAAATTATTTGGTTCTAAATATATCTTTGTCAATATTCCTAATGACTTGTGTACTGTTTACAAATATCAGAAGTCCCTATGAGATCAAACAGTAATGACTTAATTAGATATACACCTGTCTTTTGAGGACTGCCTTTTCACAAATATGTCCCCTCCATCTTGAACTTGTTTTCTCTCCTAGAGGACTAACTCTGTTTTTATCACCAAGCACCAGGTCCTCAAGAAATAGAAAGAGCCAGGAGACTGGAGTATGATACAGACTACACAATGATGTACTAAGACTGGTAGAGTAAGTAACTTTTAAGTGGGTTTGGTAACGGTAGTCTAGGAATTTCGTGTAGTCTATTTTTACCCAGTTGATGCCTGATGATTCTCCGACAGATGTCCATCAAGGGCAGGGGCTCCGCTGAAGATAAATAAGACATCATTACCATACAATGTTTATAAGTGAAAAATTATCTTAAAGCTTTAAGAGGCACATTCTAAGATATTAGCATAAATGTGTATCTTTAAATTACATGTATTATTACAATAATGGAAATGTCATTGTATTTCATTAGCTATGTTAATTCATGAAAAAAAAAAATTCACATAAGGGTTGAAGAGTACTTACGATCCAGCCCGCCTATGTATTTCATTGTTATTTCACAATGCCCCCACACCGCACTGACAATTGGATAGAGTTTTCTCCCTTTCAGTCCTCTGAAGGCCACGCCTAGGTACTGTCCGTCCACCACAAAACTGAGTGTGCCCTCATCCATATCCAATACAACCAAGAAACTGTCCGGGACAACAAAGTTCTCGTCCGAATTCAGACTAGGATATGTCACACCAGGATTATTTTTAACGTCATGGTAAAGTTTATTTCTTCCCAGATCCCATCCCCAAGATTCACAATTACTGCCTACAAGAGACTGATAACCCACACAATGTAAGGGGGCGTCACTGGTAGCTACCCCCACCACAGCGTGGGTGCCGCGCTGCCTAGTACTCCATATGATTTCCCACACATGTAGTCCTCGTGTATAACCCACTTTCCCCCGAATGCAGTCTGTACTTTGAGCAACTGGATGACGGTGAAATGTCAACTTATCATCATCTTTCACAAATATATTTAATGATCTATCGTCTGCGTTCCAGGAATGGTTCACTTGTGACTCCTTATTCGGGGACGGCATGTCAAGAAGCATGTCTAGTCGGCTTGGCTTCTGATAGTCCGGATTGTACACCATGTCACCTTTATACAGGGCCTTGTACGACGATTCTCGAGCTGTCACGGTTTTTATGCCACCAGACACTTTCTGCCCCATGCTCATTTCTTGACAATGATATTGGGGCAGGCTCTACCAATGAAAAAATGTGTTGACTAAAATTGAATGTATTTCAATTGGGCTTTTTCTGATTAGATCATTTGCAAATTTAGTCTGTCACAATTTGTAAGCAAGGGTTTATCTTAAAACATAGTCTTAGCGAGAGTTCTGTAAAGCTGTCTTTGTTTAATCTTCCTGCTTTTACTTCTGTTCAACCTGAAATGAAAATCACTTGAAATTTTTAGTAAAGCTTAATCTAATAATTGAAGTTGTATGGAAATTCTCTAAACAAAACAGTGTATGCGTTTATTTTTCACATGTATTTACAAAATAATTTTGTCATTAGCATTAGGAGTAGCAGTCAATATTTATTACATGTGAATGTATGTGTATTTATTACATGTGAATTACACGTGTATGTATTTGTATAAAAATATTTTAAATAGTTACTTTGAAACTAAACAAAACACAAAATAAGGAAAAGTGAGATCAAGGTCACTGGGAAGGTCAAGGTCAGAAAATCATTCCACATTTGAATAGCTTTAACCAATATGTATTAGTGTAGGTACTTTTGTTAACATCTCAATTTCTTTGAAACTGAGCTATATGCAAAGTGTGACAGATGGACAAACTGAAGGATAGATGACAGATTTGTCAACCTGCTGAAACAATTAGCAGTCTTGGATTTGCAAGCCGGATTTCTTCCAATACTGTCTCCCAATACATCTTATGATCTGATCCTTTTCCTTAGTTCTATGTAATAGCATTCCTTGTACAGAGATACATATTTAACAGCGATTCAGATTGGACAAACAACAGAGGGCCTAAATGTAAAAAAAAGTAAAAAGCTAAACACTGACTCTTCATTTCTTATTTTCAACTTAAGAAACTTTCTAGTTGTGTTCTTTTGCTAGACATTTAAACAATGCTGAACTCACATACATTTCCATAAATTCTTAATCTCATGAATATTTCTCAAGTTTCAACATTGTAAATCAGTAATCATGGTAATGTCTATTGTTTTTCTTTAATGCAAACATCTCAAGTCATAATGTTTTTCTCTTTGTAATAGTGCTAAATCTAGGCTACTCCATATTTTTCCCTGTCATGAATTTGATTTCTGTGCATGAAATCACCCTTTAAAGAAGATTTTGCTGTCTCTACTCCATGACATTATTTTTTTCTTGACTATCATGATGCAATGTTATGTATGTTTGATTTTGATCGCTTGAAAGCGTATTGAAAGCTAACAAATTCTTCCTTACGAAACCAATCAAGATCTTGTATTTTGACGAATCAAGAAGAACACAGTTGCAGTAAAACACGCTTATAGCAAACACTCTTATAATGAGTTGATGTTTATAGTGAAGTGAATTCCATTTCCCTTGACTTTAAAATATACTTAAATTTAACAGATCCAACAAATTATACTGAAACAAAATCATCTGTGTCACTTCGTTATAAACATGTTTTACTGTATTTTCTTATGGCTGGTAAACATGAAAAACCATTTGCCACTCTCTCCAACAAATGAAATTCTGATAGGCAATCTTCTGAGTTGACTCTTATTAGGCCATGTTTAAATTTTTATCGGCCATTTGCCAATCTGTATCAATGAATTCACTTCCTCCTGTGCTCAGACACCTCAATTTTGTGTTGAACAAAACTTTGAACAGTTTCATATCATAATCAAACAAATGAAAAGACAGTTGACAAATCTACCACAAATTTCCTTGAAGTTTTAAATGATAAAAAATATTGCTTCACTGAATGATGAGACTATTTAGTATATTAAAAAAGATTTTAAAAAATTGGTAACTGTTTAACATAAATAAATAAATAAACTACAGTAAAATCACTGATTTCTTTAAGAAATAAGGTATCATTTTAAAACATCTATCGGGCTATAAATACGGGTTGGTCACGAGATCAAATTCCATAAAGCCCGAAGGGCTTTATGGTAAATTTGATCTCGTACCAACCCGTATTTATAGCCCGATAGATGTTTTAAAATGATGGTATCATTTTAAAATGAATGTCCCTCCATCGACAAATGATGTCAAAACTAAATGTTTAAACAATCATGTAATATGATAGCACACACACACAAAAAATGATACAACTGATATTTATTGTGTAAAGTTCCCTAACCTGACTGAACTCTTCTTTTTCTTTGTGTTATACAATTCTACAACGAATTGTCAGTGTGTCTATTTTTTTAACTTTGTTATGTGATAATCCCCTGACTCCCTTACAGCATACAGACAAAAGTACCGTTACAAATCTCCCCTTTGTCTGCCACATCTCTTTGTCATCAGCTGTTCAAGCACGAATTTTACCGTCGATCGATTAATAATGTTAGTTACTATATCCATAAAAATTACAAAAATATTCCACTTAATAAGTCAGAAAGTCTAAAACTGGTATCAAGTATTCTTATAAATTGTATTACATTGTTTGTCGATCTTAACTACACAAACGTGCTATTATACATAAACACCCGCACTTTCCGCTATACACGGGTGTCTCAAAATTCACTGCAGTTTTCGGGCGATCGTAAACTTACCGTTAATTTCTTGTGCTGTTTTCTGATAGATGATATATCTAGCATATTACTTATGAATGTGAGATCTTAATTGCCAATTCGGGGGTCCATACATGCTTTATTTTCATTGCCACTTTTGTGAATCACAGCAGGCAATGATCAACATGGCTGCCAAGCTAGTAATGATCACGTGACCTAATTTTTCGTGACATCACAAATGTAGGTTACCTGTGGGAACATCTCATAATAGAAATAAAGGCGAGAAAAGTGAAGGTATTTATGTCACTTTGAATTGATTAAAAAATTGTGAACATTTATTCATAGGTTGATTATTTTTAAACTTCCTAAAAGAATATATTTTTTGTCACTTTTTGTGGAAAATGAAAATACATTTTAAATATAATTACCCCCCCCGCAATAATTTTTGCCAATATACATTTTTATACTATAGAGAATAGAGCTTATTTAACGTCTCGGGATCTTTTCTTTTAGCAACTGTTATCCCCCCTTTTCAAAAAGAAAATTTCTTTCCTGTCAAACGGGCATGTCAAATGCAGGATAACATGAATAAAGAAAACCATTGTGAAGTATATATAACTATATTTTGTAATCTTGTCAAGCCGGATAGTTCATGCCATAACAATAGTATTATTGAATTTTTACACGAAAGTTTTAAATTGTGTCAGTTCAAAAGAAAAAAGAGTAAAGTACACCTATCTACATGAGGCAGAAGTGGATTTCTGTATATCCTTTAGCACCGACTCTTGCTGCCTCTTGTAATGTATCAGACATATTTTATGTGTTCAGATATATATATATATATATATATATATATATATATATATATATATATATATATATATATATATATATATATATATATATATATATATATATATAGCATTAATAATAATAATAATGCACATGTTTGCAAATTAAGTTGTATCAAGTAAAAATGCAGATATACGTATATTTTAAATTAAAACAACCTATGCCTACATATGAAACTTAAAAATATCACCAATATATGGAAGAATTGCTCTTCATTATATGTTGTATTCTATTTGTTACTTTATCTGTAATTAAACCCCTAAATTCCCTTCCCTATCCACAAAATTTCATGACAAGCAAAGGCAAAAACCAAAAAAAAAAAACAAAAACAAAAACAAAACAAAACAAAACAAAAACAAAAAAACAAAAACCAAAAAACTTTAAAATCCGTTTCCCAAACATGAAATCGCCTATTTCGTGGTGGTGATGGTTGGATCAACGTTTTCTGGGGGGAGGGGGGGTCCCAAATTCATTATTTATTTGCTTCAGTATATACACGTACTTTTAATAATTCTGCAAATTCCAGAAGGGGGGGGGGTCCGGACCCCCCCCCCCCTCGACCCCCTCTAGATCCGCGCATGTGTTATATGCTCATTGGGACCTGATTTGGTAATAAATCCTATTCCTATTTTCCATCGCCGGATACCCACGGGAGTTCTCGTGACGAGATCACTCGATCATGGGTATCCTTTGTCAATTCATATGATATTACAATGTTGTATGCCAAACGATTATCTACACCTCTTAAATTATATACATATACTACAAGTAATCAGTTTGATTTCAAATATCTCGATCTACAGCTGATCCTTGCTAGATACGTAAATTGTATATACATGTATACATAGGGGATATTCAATGTTTGTAGCAGGATATGGAATTTATTTCACGAGTGGGACAGAATTTTTTAAATATATTTTTTCACTGACGAATGCGAGACCCCCGGGTTCATTAAACAGACTTTTTACAGTTTTATTTTCTTTTTTTCCCCAAAATTTTAATAATCCATAAAATGTTTATTTTGAACTGAACCTCTTAATTTGTATACAACAGTAGTCTACTGAGGCAAAGTTTTTTTTTTTTTTTTTTTTTTTTTTTTTTTTTAAAGCATTCTAATTTTGGACTTTTGATTTATAAATCCTTTTAGTACAATATACCGGTACATTTCTCGACTTAAAAAAGTTTTAAAGATGTTTCATGATCCTAGGGCTATAGGTTACTTTAAAGGCGGTTCCTATTTTCTCGGGTTTTAAATACACTGTACTTTTATCATATCAGTAACATGCATGTCTATTGAACCAATGAATGGAATGTTGAATTTAATTGAATTTTGTTAATGAAACTTAGAACTTCGCGGAATAAAAGAAGTCTATAGTAAGCTTATCGTTGTAAAATGACCAATGATCACTGAATTTGCACTAATCAATATACAAAAAACAGATATGAAAAGTAACAATTCATTTTTTTAAATAATCAAAGTAAATATAATGGTGGTAGTAGTGGTGGTGTTGGGGGGGGGGGGTTAAACAGGTCGGATTATCATCAATATGAGTTATGATATAAAATCTTTTATTTGAACAAAATTTCAAATTTATTTCAATATTATTATAAATTGGCATTTTTACTCTTTTGAACAAGAGGCATACTACCAGGGACGAATATCTAAACTTAAGTATACCACATAGGCGTCGGAAGCAAATTGAAAGTTTGGGGGGGGGGCTTAACCAACAAAAAAGTAAGCCCTAATTTTCAATGCCTATATTATGTCTATCTTTGCATCTGGAGTATTTTTTTTATATCTCTAGCCCCCCCCCCCCCCCCGGTTCCGACGCCTATATGTACCATGTATACTAAGCGGAGTAAAATTATGCATAATCATGACCTATATTTTCTCTTATAGACCTATTTTTGTATTCATATGAAGCAGAATTTTTTCAAAATCTTTTACGAGAAAAGAAGAAAACACTTGCTGTGGCCTTCAACTCGACATTTAGATATATTGACGACGTATTGTCAATTAACGATGGTTATTTCCATTCTTATGTCGACACGATATATCCCGCTGAGCTTGAGATAAAAGATACCACAGAGTCTGACACATCTGTTTCGTATTTGGATATTTTATAAGAAAAAGACGTTTATGGTAATCTAACAACAAAGCTTTATGATAAACGTGATGACTTTAACTTTTCAATCGTCAACTTCCCTTACCTATGCAGCAATATACCCTCATCACCTGCATACGGAGTTTATATTTCCCAGTTGATTCGATACGCCAAAGCATGCTCTACTTATGAACAATTTCTAAAACGAGGTAAATTATTAACAAACAAGTTGATGAAACAAGAAGATCAGCAGTCTCGTTTAAAGTCATCATTTCGTAAGTTCTATGGTCGATATGGTTCTATGACCTAGTCAGCAAATACAATCTATCATTAAGTCAAATGCTGACTGACTTTTTACATACTAATTGTTAGGCCATTATTTACACACTGAATTGTCGACGGATTTTTCCGTTATTCCCCGATCATGACCAAGGAGCACACGGCGGGTGTTACCGGTCGGCAGGGGATGCTCACTCCTCCATGGTACCTGATCCCACCTCTGATGTCTTAGAGGTCCGTATTTTCTCTGCTCCTATTTTTAATGTTTAATGGACTTTTGAGCTCGAATACTGTTCGTCATCTCCACATATTTCATCTTAATAAATAAACATTGAACATTTTTTGAGAGTATGATTTGATATGGACACATATGTATTTGAAAAAAATCTCTCATCAGCTGATCAATTGTTATCTATTGTTTTACGCCGAATTGGCAGTATTTCAGTCAAATTTTGGCGGAACTCTCATAGAAGCGTTGCAGAGACGCAAGTATAACAGGTTGTGAAATGACCCCTTTGTATAACCGGATGTCCATCTTTTGATTTAGAAGGTAAAAAAACCCATCAATGCTGAAATGGTAAGTTTGTTTTTCACAAAATGATTGTGTACAACAATTTATGCAATTTTTATATGATTTCAATCTGCAATATAATGTATGATCCTAATGATGCAATACAGTTGAAGTCTTTTACACATGCACTAAGTATCTAAACCTGTAGTTAACTGGTTAACTACTGGAATTGTGTACAGAATAGCCATTAGGTCTACTTTTACATTGTAACGTACAATTTAATACCATGCTCATTTTTAAGAAGTCAATGTTGTTAATTGCCAATAAGATAATAAATTTAAACTCATTTGTTTTGCAGACACCTAATGAGACAGAGGGTACTCGGACAAATATGTGTTTTGACATTTAAGCAAATTCTATACATACCACAGAAAAACAGCTGGAAAACTCTTTATTCGACTTCATCAATTCAGACTGTGAAATTTTGGGCCTTAACTTCCCAGTTACCAGTAACTCACAGCATCAATAGTTTTCATTCCTCTGTTTTGAGATCCATGGCAGAAAATAGGTATGGAAATTTAATTGTGGACATTTTCCCTTATCAGTATAGCTGATACGAATGTCAGACATCTTGTCCAACAACATGTCGGCCCATTGACACCGTGTATAAGACACCTCGGCTCAAACAAAATTTCATTTCAAAATATATATTTCCAATTTGCGACTTGAATAAAATATTGTCTGAAAAAAGTTTTTTTCTAAATTATAAAAAGACCTTAATTCCACAAGCAAATTGCAATTGACGACAATTAAGGAATGAAAAGACAATTTAAAGTGCTAACTGGTAAACAAACAAGATGCTGCGGCGCATCTTGTAGAGTCTCCACTGCGTAGTCTGGTGAAAATGAGGGGTTAATTACGAGTAGGCATAATTGTGAGACGGTAATTAAGAATTATACATCATTAATCATTATACAGACATAAGAATATCCAGTACAATGTCCTTCCCTTTTTGTTAATCAGTTGGTTAATGCAAGATTAACAGTCATAACCATATTGCAGATTTTTAAAAAAAAAATTTTTTTAGCATGACCCGTTTACCCGATATGCATTTTTCCTGCGACATAGCTGCAATTGTGAAAATTTTGCATTAATAATAAAAATTAAGTTTTGTTTCAATGTAGTTCCATGTATATACCATTTCATGGATACCATCTCAGATGTTTCAGATCTCCAGAGAAATAATTTAATGCAAAATGTTACCATAAAATTCAATTCTTATAATAGAAATTCAAGATCATAAAAGAATTGATAATATTTTGATATATAGTTTCAATAAGTGTATATTTAGGGCATTTTCCAAAAGAGATAGATGTTAGTTAAAGACTGATCTGATTTATTTAGAGAAATGAACATTTTTAACTGAAAATCGTTTAATCGTCAGAAAGAATAATTACATCAATAATACATTCACTTCAGACACTGGTTTTTTTTTTTCTATCATAAAATTTTGCTTTGGCCAAGGAGTCTTTTATATGGGCCGATGTGTCATTAATTTTGGGCCGACCTGTCAGGGCCGAGGTGTCAGACATGACGGGCCGAGGTGTCATTGGGCCGAGATGTCTATCTACCACTGATACACATAAATCATTAGCATCTTGAATCAGTCAAGGTGTTTTAGAATGCTCTTTCAAAAATTTTTATTTGGGTAGATATATCACTGGATATGCCAAACTTGGAACATCAAGTTGCAAGAAATGTAAGCAGAAGATCGACAAAGGAAGTCTCCGCATTGGAAAGGTGGTATCCAATCCATTCTCTGATGAGGGTGGTGACATGAAGCAGTGGTACCACCCACAATGCATTTTTGAGACCCTAAAGAGAGCTCGGGCTACCACAAAAAAGATAGAAGAACCAGATGATCTGGAAGGGTTCACAGAAATTGAGCAATCTGATAAAGACCTCATCAACAAATTGATTAAAGGTTTGATATAAAAAAATGTAGTAACATTATTAGTAAAAGGCATGCTAAAACTGAATGATAACTTTTATTCATCCTCCCACTGTGTCTGACCTTGACACAAATATCACCCAAAATCATGATGATGTTAGATTTATAGCTACCTCTGAAAACAGAATATGTTTTGCATCCAAATGTAAATGCAAAATTTAATGATATCATACACTAAAACATGTAGATCTAATGTAGTATTCTATGACAGGAAATAGTTTCATAACCTTACAGTCCAAAGGGCAACAGACATTGTGATATACCTGGTGAATGGAATTTAAGTTTCTCTGTTATTTTGTATTCATTTGGTACTTATATATTGGTGTTTATTTTTCAGAATTTGCTGCCAACTCCAACAGCAAGTCTCCAGGGTCAGCAAAGAAAAAACCAGTTGCTACTGTACAATCAACTCTCCCTTTCTCCCCCACAAAAACGAAAGTAAAAGTAGACCCAGATGATGAAGGTAATTGAGTGAAGGATTTGAGTGTATACATTTCATTGAAAATATTAAAATTCCCAGGTTACTGTCATTATGCCCTTAAACCAGAAGTACCCCAAATTCAATTCAGGAATGCTCAAAGTACATTTCACGAACACCCTAAATACACATCTCAGGTGCCCCCCCCCCCCCCAATTAAACTGCCCTATCCTGTATAACATTGGCATTTGTAATACAATAACTTTTTTATGAATCAAACATTGAAAATAAGTTTTATTGTATTTTCTATCAGGTTCTTTTGGATCAGTAATATATGTTTATATAGTTTACGACATATTCTTTCATATAAGAATTGATTATATTGAAATCAATGCAATAAATTTAAAAACTCAAATCCCCCCCCCTTCCCCCAAAACCCCCCTAAATTTTATGTATATTTCCCTATGTTAAAAAGAATTTTTATTTGAAAACAACAAAATACAAGAAGCTTAGATAAAATCACTCTTTCTCTGGATTTTTGGATATTTTAGCTATAACCCAATCACAGGCACTTGTTTCAGTAATATTTTTTTTAACCCATAGTATAATAATAACACGGAAGGTATACAACTCGGAATTACATGGAGTACTCCCCTCCCCAGAATCGCACTCATT